GGGTTTATATATATATATATATATTAGTCCCTTTGCTCAACTGTCATTAATTAACCTGTTACACAAAATTATTTGACTAGTGTAATTATTGATGAAAACATCACATTAATTAGACTAACTAACACTATACAATTGTCTTAATCTATCATTATCAACTAATATTGTAAGACAGTTTTAATCTATCATTATCAATTATGTCATATTACTATTGTCATTATTAGTGAAAATATTATATTAAACCAACTAATACTACTCAACTATTTTAATCTGTTACGGTTAATTATGCTATCATTGACCATGAGGGACTAAAATGACAAATTTAAAATTTGAGGAACTAAGATAATGAACTAAAATAGTATATATATATATATATATATATATATATATATATATATAAAGAGAGAGAGAGGAGGGATCCGTTTACTATATGAGTAAGTCTACCTAAACTTACTCCGTTCAATAACACATGTTCTACATCAAATTTTAATGATTCAACCATTGAATTTAAAGTTCTTAATACATAGATCAAATCTGCAAAATTTTTAAGAATTTGAAAATATTTTATATTTTGTTTCATTAATTCAAATCAATGTATAAAATAATTTTATGATTATCTTTCATTTTGAATTAATGAAACAAAGTATCAAATAATTTTTAAAATGTTTAAAAATTTATAGACTTGATTTATGTATTAAGAACTTTAAATTTAACAGTTAAATTATTGAAATTTGATGTAAAACATGAGTTATTGAACGAAATAAGTCTATCTAGACATACTCCTTGAGTAAACGGATCAATTTGGAGAACAAAAAAAAAATTACCCTAAATTTGAAGAACTAAAAATATAATTTAAGCTTAATTGGTGTATACTCTCCTTAAAATATAAGCAAATTTTAACTATTTTTGTCTCATTTATTGATATTCTCCCTAAAATATCATTCATTTAATGCATGACCTTTCAATTGCATTACTTCTTTTGACATTTATAAAAAAGATAATTTAGGAAAATATTATAAGATAAGTAAAATTTAATACAGATAATTAATTTTCTTAACATGCATAAAATTAAATTTTTTTTTTTGCTTATACTACCTTTATTCCTATAATATAAGACTCAATTACCTAATTCACTAAAGTTAAAAAAAGTAGTTAATAATTTAGTTAATAATAAATTTGTCCTATATATATATATATTTATTTATTTATTTATTTATTTTAAAGGAGTCTTATACTACTTATCTTTCCTAAATAATGTTCATATATCATCTAACCAATTAGAATGCATGCTCTATACTATTTATTTATCCTAATTAATATTTATCTATAACCAAATAATCTTATTCTTTTGTTCTTGAAGTGCACAAAAATTGTGAAAACATTACATTATCCATTTATTACGAATTGTTACTCTCTTTTTATTTATATATAAGTAAAAAGGACTTAAATTTTGGATTAAAATATTAATATATTTTGGTTAAGTTAATTTTATTTAATGTTCTTAGTGTTTTAATGCAAAAATATTCTTAAAAAATGTAGTATATATTTTTATATGAAATTATGAAAATTAAATATATTTAATTAATTTTTTAGTTTGTGTGAAATTGAGTTTTTTTCTTCTTATTATATATAGTTTAGAAGGACTATGTTATAAGAGAGAATATAAATTTGTAGTTGGTGCACAAACATTTTAGTGCTTTTAATTTTTGTTTATAAAAATATATCAAGAGTGTTATTAATTTAGGGTTAATTTTGGAAATAAATAAAAATTTAAGACATATTTGTTGATAAAAGAATAATATAATATTTTGTTTTCTTAATATTTCATATGAATATATATGAGGAGGGTTCAAACGACACCGGTGTAACTTTTACTAAGTGTTACATCACTCAATAACTCTATTAAATGTGAATTTTGAAAATCCAACCGTTAGACTGAAAGTTCGTATCTCTTAGATCATATATACAAAA